TACCAGACATCAGGGACAGCTGTGCCTCAGCCCGCGGGGCTGAGCACCTGGCCAGTCCTAAATGTGCTCATTGCCTCACCTGGTCCTTCCCTCAGAAGTTACAGGAAAGCCTCTTGCCCTCCCCCAGCCCCCTGCCTCCCCCAGCAGCCCTGCAGCTTCCCCGGGGGCCTCTGGGTGGCGCTGTCCTGGGAACTGGGAGTCACACTGTTTCTCAGTGGCTGTCATCTCCTGACCTGTGGCCTCATCACGCTCAAAGGATAATGAGACCTGGATTACAGCCAGGCCAGCAGCCCCCAGAGGCTGGCTCTGGGCGGTGAGGCTGGCACCTGCCCTTGGCCCCAGGCCTGTCTCCTGGTGCTGCCACAGCAGCCAGCACACAGCCAGGGCCCGGCCTCGCCCGTCAGACACCCTGCTTCTCTAGGGAGCAGCGCTGGCCCTTCCAGCACAGGGCCTCCCTCGCAGGGTGTCTGCTGTTTCTGTCCTTATGCGTCAGAGCCCGGGATGCTAACGGGACGCAGAAGGGCTTTCTGTGAGGCCAGCCCTGGGCTCCCTGCCGTGGACACAGCAGCTCCCCAGGCCGCTGCTCGGTGCTCCACCCGCCCCACCGGCTCCCTTCCCGCCCGCCCCATCCGATGACCCGTGTGTGTGCCTTCCTCTTGGCCCTGCAAGGTGGACAGCAAGCCCAGGGCGCTGGCGGTGGCACGGCTCCTGCTGAGACAGGCAGGCAGGCTCCAGACCAGGGCCGACTGGGTGTGTTCCCCCCCCCACCCCTACACACACCTGTCCAGGGGCCTCTGCGAGCATGGTGTCTGAGCAGGCACCCAACTACGGGCACCAAGCGGGAGTGAGGCACTGCCACCTCAGACAGACCCCCTGGAGGAGCCCCATCCTGGGCAGGAGGGCAACCCACCTTGGCCAGGTCTGCACAGGCCCCCGGGGGGCTGCTCTCGGGCGCTGGCTCCTGGCCGCCGTCCTGGCCCATGTCGCTGTTGGCCTCCTTCCGAGTGGTCTTGCTGCCTGGGGCCACCTCGGGGTGCAGTGCCAGGAGGGTG